AAATGTCACCTTGGCCGCGATTACTGGCAGCATTTTTGGCCTCGGACTCAATCCTCTACCTACGTTCGGTGCATACACACCCTTCTCTCTGCCCTATCCTTCCCACCTGACTGTCTTCACAAGACTGGAACTTCATGACCGCCATTGTCGATCCTCTTGTGTCGCCATTCTTTATGAGTGAATATATACGCATGACTGCAAGATGGCTCACATTCGCATGCTCAGACCACATTCAACGTAAATTAATTTGCGTTCAAGTCATTGTTAACTGATCTACCCGTTTTAGATTTTCCTTGGAGTAAGAACCAAATCCGTGCATCCATTTTGCCACTGACTGTGTTTCAAAGGCCACTATTACTCTCCCAATTATAGCTGCGTTGTGGTTCACGAACACATGGAATAGTGGATATCTGCCAATCAACTCCAACGTATGGTTGACCTTCAAACAAAATTGCCCCCGATGTTCTGAACCCTCCCACGACAGCTCGTATTCGACAACACCGGCAACCTTTACTCAGTTGCGGATGCCATCGGGGCTGATACATTGTTCAACCAAACCATGTACGAAAATTACTCGCCGGCTTATCTGAGTGCGTCAAATGCCCTCCTGTATGGTGTATTCTGTACGTTCGGCCAATATTCCTTCGATTGAGGGGCTTACATGTTCAACCAGTTGCGGTTTATACCGCGACTTTGAGTCACGCGTTCTTATATCACCGTCGAGACATTGTTCACGGGTTCAGAAGCATTCTGAGCAGGGGAAAAACATCCGAGTCACACACGGATGTTCATGTCCGCCTGATGGAGTCGTACAAGGAGGTGCCCGAGTGGCAATACTTCCTGTGAGTTCCTCGCTGTCACTTCCGATCAATCATTTATTTATCCTTGACTTCAGCGTTCTGGTGTTCGCCATTGTAGTTGGTGCAATTGGAATCGGCGTTTATCCCACCCACACATCACCGGCTGTTGTTTTGTATGGAGGTGAGGATCCGAAACTCCACTCAGTTCAACCATTTACGCTCTCTATCAGTGTTCCTTGCCATGATTTTCGTCATCCCGGTTGGAATCATCGCGGTATGTTTGATATCCTTTGAGTGCATTGCGCTTATGCAGTGCTATAACCAGTCAATAACCAATGTGGAAATCACGCTCAATGTCCTGGCTGAAATGTTTGGTGAGCATCAACGATTTGAGCGCTGTAAATATCCTGACACCCTCCAGGTGGTCTTTGGTTCCCCGGAAACGCTGTCGCGATGAACTACTTCAAGGCTGGTAGCTTTGATTTGCGCCGCTCATAATTGTTCTGACGGCTTGAATCTAGACTTATGGGTTCATCACCAGCGCTCAGACTATCAGCTTCGCACAGGACTTAAAATTTGCTCATTACATGCATATTCCTCCACGTCTGACATTCTGGGCGCAAATCTACGCGACGATTATTTCGTCCTTCGTATGCACCGGCATTCTCAACTTCCAGATGACCAAAATTGCGGATGTCTGTACGCCGGATCAGAAAGATCACTTTACATGCCCCGACATCAACACGTTCTTCACTGCCAGGTATGTTTGCGAAGCCTTGAGTAGTATTAACTCAGATGGCTGAACCCAAATTTGTTCAGTGTCCTTTGGGTATCTATATCTTCAGTATCCGCTTCAATCCCCAGGCTGACGCGAGCTCACAGGGAAGCCTAGGTCCTAAACGAATGTTTGGCGCTGGTGGAATCTACAACGGTCTACTCTACTTTTTCCTCATCGGCGCAATCCTACCCTTCCCGGTGTACTTCTTGCGCAAGAGGTTTAAGGTTCTGGAATACTTGCACATCCCAGTGCTTCTCACAGGTGGATTGAGTTGGGCACCTTACACTATGGGTAACAATATTTCATTTGTGATATGTGTTGTCGCTGATTACCACCAACAGCGAATCTCTGGCCGGCCGTTCCCGTTGGGTACCTCTTCAACGTGTTCATCAAGAGGCGGTATATTGCATGGTGGAGTAAATACAACTAGTGCGTCCTCCAGGCGGCCATCTTTGGCTCGGCTCACATCCGACTAGTGTCACAACTTCTGCGTTCTCAGCAGCCATTGCTATTGCTGGAATCGTGATTTTCTTCGCCGTTGAATGGCCCAGTGTCGAAATTAACTGGAGCGGAAATATGCGGCCCTTCGATGGATGCGATGCAAGCGGGTGTGCTCGCTTGCCACTCCCGGATTCAGGTTTCTTTGGCCCCGTGCGTATCCTCCTGAATGGGTTTTTGTCAGATTCTCACACCTGGATCGACAGGGTCCCGGGGAGTTCCGTTGAGTGAATAGAGAGGTCTTGATCAATGTATATATTGTAACAATGTGATCAACGAAAAAGTTGGATACCCTTGTATTCCTTTCGGGAGTCTTCCACGAGAAATGGTTTCAGAGTTGCCATGGCCCAGGGCCGGCCGGGCGAGTCAGTGACTGGTTCCAGAGAATCCTGGATTCCAGAATTTGATACTCTTCGCACCTCCGATTTTCGGAACTGCATCCCGAGTCCCACTCGGCTTGCTTCTTGCCTCTTTTATCGATTTTGTGTTGCAACGACGAGCAAAAAATTCTCCACCTCATCTCTGAATCTGGAAAGCTATATACTCGAGATATCAGCGTTATCCCGCCCGACATGGATATCCCACTGATATCAGTCTCGTGCCAATCGATCCCATTACCTTAGACTGGAATCTCACTCCCAGCTTGACGAGAACTTAGACAGGGTGGAGGCGGAGAGACGCGGACGCGCGTGCGCGCGCGATCCAATCTGATGGTCTGGACGGAAGACTGAATTCTTGAGAAGTCAACAAGGAGTGAGTAGAATGGGAAAGCGGCACCGATAGAGCGTCCTCCACTCAACGGAAAGTATGAAATACGATATAAATCCTGAGCACGGAGAGAGAGCGGCTGGACTGATGGAAGATGGAATGGGCCACAAGGAGAAAAGATCAGGCAAGTATTCTCCTGTTTCGAGCAGTTAGCAGGTACGCCGGTACGGAAACGAGTTTGGTTGAAAATGCATTGTTGCAGTGCGTGTGAAAATATAGTATTGTTGGCGGCAATCGTCGGCCCGGACCCGTGCTTCTTGCCACCACCATGCCTTTTGCATCCCTCTTGTCGATGCCTTCAGCTCTGTCCCCACCCCGCCTGTCCAGGCAAAAAATACCCCACATTTAAGTATTCGTGTCTTCCAACCCACAGCCTTTCTCTCGATCATCCTGCTCTCGACGACGAAGAATGGTGCATCGCACTCGACAAGGTTCTAATCCAGTGCGGAAGGCTCTGGAAGGTTCATTTCTTGAATCAGAGTTATCGAGTCACTGACTCAGACTAGTCAACGGCGGGCCCGAAGTCCGTGGCAACCCCTGTCTAAAACCGTACTTAACGCCTAGTAATCTCAGACGCACCTCCCACCTGCAACCACCATGCCTGTTTCCTTCCCTGTCGCCAACCATCCCGCAAACTCAGTCAAAGTTCCTGATAAGGCAGAAGATGGCTTGACAGGAATGCAGGTGTTTTCGCGGGCCTGCTGGGAGCAGTGCCCGACCGGTACGAAGCTGCACCAATTTTCCCTCGGCGAGGAACAGGTCCAGTACGTCCCCGGATTACATCCTCTCATACGAAAAGGCTGACGCAATTCCGCCTGTAGCGTCGGCGATTCTACCGCCAAATTTCCGCAGATCATCCCGCATAGAAATGGTCTTGTTTATACGATAGCCACCGCGTACACTCAGCACCACATGCTCCAGATCCGTCCCGACGACGTCTGGCTCGCCATCCTTTGTCAATTCAACTTCTTCATCAACGCCAACGCCGAGCTCTTCCGCGCGAGTTTTGTTGCGCACGAGGGCAAGCGGGAGCTCGTACTCGAGGACAGCAGCGGCGCTCTTGATTTTGGCAGCATGGCACGCAGGATGGCGGACCTCCTTGACAAGAACGTGGTCGATACTACACTTCGCGACTGGGCGCTCCCTGCATTCAGCACGACGACCGAGACGGACACAACCGTCGGCGCTGTGTTACTCATGGCGACGCTCAAGCACTACTTCAAGCCAGTTTATAGGATAACGGGGTGCGGCATCCCACGCGTAACGCTTCTGGGCGAGCGCGCCGACTGGGAGGACATCCTGGGTCGGTCGGAGAAGTTAAAGGAATACGGTCTACATGCGATCGCCTGGTACCACCTGCTGCAGCCCGTCCTCAGTCGCTTCGTCGCGGCGTTTGACGCGCCGGAAAGTCCAGAAAACGTACGGTTCTGGGAACGCGTTGTGGACTATAAGGGCGGGAGCGGGCTGTCCTACTACTCCGGTTGGATCAACGCGTTCAATGTGTTCAACAAGAAGGGCGAATGGCTCGGAACCACGCTTGATAGTGTGCGTTCGCCTTTCTTTTTAGTTTGAACCTACTTCACCGTAATTGATTCGTGCCGCACAGAGCATCGAAGCAACGGAGGCTCCCGAATCGCTGAGCGCGCCCATATTTTGGGCGACATACGCGAAGCAGCCCCTGCAAACAGCGCATTTCCTCCGCCGGAATGACGAATACGCGCCGGCGCGGCTCGTCCTCGATGGCACGCCGTACCACCGCCTCGACTGCCAGCTGGTGCCGCCCGGCTACGCGGAGGTTGACGTTACGCTACACGACGTGACGGCCGGGGCCAGCGTCAAGGTGTCGGAGTGTGCGATGGTGGCGGGGCTGGTGGGAATGCGTGTTACGTCGAGCGCGGAACACGGGGCTGGTGGGAATTTCAACGGGGAGGGCGCGGACGCTGTAGTCGCCGTGTCCAGGAAGAACGACACTGTGAGTCCTGTCGCCGGGTGGTGGTTCGTCGAGAAGAAGGCAGCTGAGTAGAATTGTACTGTGAAATGAATAAAATTTTGGGACGGAAATCTCTGGCGCGGGGTGATACATGTTGGCCGTACAAAAAGGAGAAAAGGAGTGGAATGTATATACCGGCTGGAAAATGATGTATCCCTCCTTCTCATTCGGACGCAGGGAGTCGAACCCCGGCCCTCCACTAAACAGCGACCTTTACACAGCGTCAGTGGACATGCGCCCTGCACCACATCCGATTTGCATCCGATGAAGGATACTAGTTCGTGCTGGGATATGTGGTGTTATTGAGAGTCTGGTTTTGAGAGAACCGTTGACTATCCAGTTGCGGCCGTGGGGGATCGCGTAAATGTAGGATTGCAGGTAGTCTCTCTTAGACAGACGCTTCAACAAAATGAGCTCGTACCTCGCTTGTAGATTGCAGGATAAGTGTTGTCAGGAGAATGGAGATGTTGGGATGCTCTCTGTTGAATTTATCTGCCTTTGGTAGCAGGGAGGGATGGGAGGAGCAAATCTACAGCTGACTGACTTGGACGCATGCGAGAGTGGCCAACGGGAGGATGTTCCGTGCACCCAAATGTCTGGAAGGTCCTCGTCGATCACGGTCGGTCGCCTTGGAATGTTGGCTTGGGAATCAAAGACGGAAATGGCGGTTCAGTTCCGCCCGAGGACATTTCGTGAAAGAGTCCAGTTTCCACGATTTTTCTTGTCCTCATTTTTAGGTCGTGTTTGGGTGAGGATACGGACGGCGTTCGATTATCAGCCTGACGGTGTTCAATTGGGGTTTTTTTTTGAAGCTGGAGAATAGTGAGTATACGACACCTGGGACCCGAGGAAGTGAGTAAGCATAAGTAGTCCCGAGCAACAAGCGGAGTCGAGTACCAATTCAAGCACAGTATATTGCAGGAGACGTCCGCATCGATCATGGACGATCGTTCCCGACGCATACAAAAACCAGCACTGAAACTGCATGGGGAAGTGGCGGTTCGACTCCGCTTGAGGACATGTCATAGAGGTTAAGATGAAGCCTTTTTACTCCCATTTTCGCCGCAGAATTCAATTGGAATGAGGTTTAGGTGGCGAACAGAGAGCTGTGGATCGGAAGGCGAAACTAACGGAATTCTCCTTGTTGACGTAGTTTCTTATGACACTTGGAGGCCTGGAAGCCAAAAGGAATGATTTGCGGTGTAGAAATGGGTGCAGTTAATACACGCACCTCTGGCACAAAACTAACCAGGTTCACAGTAGAACAAGTCCTCATCGATCGCGGTTGATTGCCTCGAAACTCATGGCCAGGTGGCGAATGTACATCGAGGAGGTGGCGGTTCGAGTCCGCACGAGGACATGGGGATTGATTGTAAGAGGAGATGATAATGGGTAATTCAATAATGTGTAGCTAGAATACATGAGCTTTTATACTGTACAATAGCTACTAGAACTTTCTATTTATTAGTAAGATATCAGTAAGCTGACTCAGACAGAATGAACTAGAATGTTTAGCGCCCGAGGCGCTTACTCATGATCCGGCCGGGATCAACATCGGCTTGTCAATAATCCAACATTGATATCCTTGCTCTTTTTTGGGCCTCACTGAGAGTACTGTACTATTAAGTTCAATTCGACAGTCACGGGTCACGGGGACCCTTGTCGGCGTCGAATTTTGGTCGGTGTCACGGGTCACCGGGGCGCGGTGTCGAATTGGTCCACCGTGACACCGTCAGTGGGTCGCCTGGAAGTACTGTTTTTGCGAAATTTTGTGTCGAAAAATGTCGAATTTTGGCCACCAGTCACGGTCACAGCGCCCGGTTGTCGAATGTCGAATGTGGTTCAAAACGTCACGGGTCACACCCCATGTCGAACTGAACTTAATAGTACAGTAAAGATTTTTCGACCGTGATTCACGACCAAGGTGAGCTCTGTTATGGATGTGCCTGTTCGAATTCCTGAGGAGTGAGTTTGGTTGAGACCCAGAAATGACAGTGGATATACGGTCGAGAAATGACTATATGTTCACCCACCGTCGAGCGTGTAGCCTCCCCGGGGACAAAACCAACCAGGTTCACAGAACGTTAAGTCCTCGTTGATCACGGATGATCGCCTCGAAATTCGTACAAGCTTTCAAACTGACTGGGTATACATCGAGTAGGCGGCGGTTCGACTCCGCCCGAAGACTTCGCAGCTTTCCAGATGTTTTTTCTCTCTTCTTTATTTGCCACACATCTGCGATCAGCAGTCCGTTCAAGGGCAGGACGGATGGAAACCGGACCAATGGAGCGCAACTTATGTGCGGCTTAGATCTTGTGCATAGAAGAAGTTAGAACACCTTCAGTTGTGAGGCCAGGGGAAAAAAAGCTTAGATGTTGATGTTCCCTGCGCACCCCGTCCGATGAAGGATATCCCTTTGCGAAAGGAGATGCCGAGGTCCAGTGCACAGCACAAAGAATAAAAAAAGAAGGCACGCACAAACTCGGACGCGGGGAGTCGAACCCCGACCTCCCACATAGAAAGTCAAAGAGGAATGAGCTAATAGTCCGTGGATGTGCCTCCCGCACCACGTCCGATGAATTTGATATAGATTTTCATTGTGATGTGCAGTGCCTTGCGCTAAGAGATGTTATCTGATCATCCTCCACTGCAAGTCAATTCCTCGCCAAATACCAAATTAATTCACAGTCAGCACCTTCTTGAGCTCACCCAGGGGGGGGATGTATCATACTCGTGTGGTCCACAACATGAACGACCAGTTTACCGAAGACAAACAAGTAGGTACGTACTAAGGGTGGTTATCTGTCCGTTAAACTACACGATGCCAACGGAACACACAGAAATTCCAGGGGGGCGATCAAGGGGCGATAGCACAAGACGCTGTCACTACTGTGATGATAGCGTTATTTGCCATCGGTCTCTCCGTTGACTCTGGAGGCCAATATTTTGCAGGCGAGATGCCGAAATATGGGTCCAGAGCGTCGAAACATGTACACGACGATGAAAGTCGGGAGCAGGAGGCATCTGATCGGATCAAGGGTTTCGTAATCCGCGGGTTGATCCGCGCACTCCTTGTCCCAACCACGACAATTTCTCGCTACTCACGATGGCCAGGGCTTTCGTCCCAAGGATGGATTTGCGACGATAGGAGAGGGCTCGCGGTTTGTAAAATAACCACTGAGCTTCCTGTGTGCCCGCCCGGATTCATATGCTCAGTGCTCAGGATGAACCGTGACTGTTCCAAGTTGAACTCGTTTCAACTTGTTTCCATCCCCGCCACAAGTGGTACCCGAACAACCTCGCCATAGATGTCTTTAGGGCAAATCTGAGGCTCGACAGTGTCTCATGTCCCTTTCGACAGCATTGGGCCTGTGTCAATTACAAATGCAAACGTCCTGACTTGATTCCTACAGACGGGGCGATTTACTCCAGAGCAGAGAATCGAGGGGAGTTGATAGGTCGAATAGGAACTAGAGCCCGTTGCGTGAAATGCAAGGTTGTTTCTCCAAAGGTGCAAAAAGATGTGAGTCGGACGTGACTGGTTTCGAATTCAAGACGCGGGGAGTCGAACCCCGACAATCCACCGGCAAAGCTAGAACTCGACGGGCCACAGTCGGTGAATGTGCTCCGCGCATCATGTCCGATGAAGGATGCTGTTTTGCGCTGGGATAGATGTTATACTACGCGATACATCGAGAAGGCGGCGATTCGAGTCCGCCCGGGGACCAGGGGATGTCTCGAAATATTTTTGTATGTATTAGTGACGAGTGGCGCGGAACCCGTGCATGCGGAGGGATCTGCGGAACGCTAATCATTCTGGAAGCATAATACGATACGAAGTCCGCTACAGCCTAATTACTGCAGGGAATACCCGACTAACCTTGCCCAGGTCTGCGTTTCTCAACCATCGCCTCTGCCACATGCCAGTAGTCCTCTCCACCCAATGCACCAGCCTCCCAGTCGGCGCGGAGATCAGTAATAGCGATAGTCACAAAGCGTGGAAATGGGGCAAGGGCGGGCCTGCATCGGATATCGGCATTGTGAGGGTCAGCCGGCACCCCAAGCGATAACTCGACGAGGACTCTGAGCGATCGGCAGTTGGAAAGTGCGCCGAGATAGACTGATTTTGGGATGAGATGGTCGCTGAATGCGAAGTGAGGTGTGGGATGTGCACCAGACCGGACCAGGTTGCCCATCCGCCATCGCGAAACTCCGAGACGTGCAGGTGCGTAATCTCCGTGAAGATTCTGTGCCTGAAGTCCAGCACTGCAGGGAATAGTTTCAACAGATTCACAGATAACCTCTGCAAAGGGAGATTGGCGAGTACGGGGAGGAGGGTAGCGTCCTCTGCGCCGAGGATGACCATAAGATCCGTCACAGCACCAAATGCGGTGAGGATGTGGACGAGCTCTGAATTTTCAGGAGCGACGAAGCAGAGTTTCCTGACATGCTCCCGGAAGAAGGCCGCCGGCTTCCGTTCGATAGACTTGCAGACAGCGCCCAATCCACGTCGGAAAAATGGCGCTCCGCGAACTCTTGGGCGATTCCAATGGATTGAAATAGTTCGATATAGCAGGGGCTCAATCCTACGAGTAGATTCTGTCAGTTTCGGCGACCCTTACAAACAGGTCGGGAGCTGGCACCAAATTTTGACTCCCTTTGCTACCCGTAGAAGTTTTGGGATGGTGTGCGGGTTTGAAGAGGCTGTTGTTGTAAAGATTCCCTTCTCAATTCTGCCGGCAGCCTCGGGTGAGTGGGTGGGGCAGACATGATGCTTTTGGTGAAGCCAGACGATTCGAAATGGCGGTGCGTGTGGGTCCCAGATCATGATGGGCTACTGTGGCTACATTACCCTCCGTTAATTATCGCGTGGCAGAGGTATGAAAGTGCTGAATTGAAACGAGGAATTGTCGGTCAGTACGTTATGTTGTGGGCCATGCATACAGGTACTCTGTTCGGAATGCCTTTCCTTCTTCTGCGATTAACGGCGAGATGTTGTTCCGTGCGCCTAAGTGCCTGCAACGTCCTCGTCGACCACGGATGATCGCCTCCGAGGGGTAGCCTGGCTTTGAACTCCAAAGAGGAAGCGGTGTTTCGACTCCACCCGAGGACATTGGTGGCGTGATGTGATCTTTTGGTTGTAACATTCAATGAGCGTTAGTCTTCGGAGCAGAGAATTTGGGACCAAAATTCAAAAACAAGGCGTGTTGTTGTAGCTCTTCACGAGACATAAGCTAACCAGAAACCCAAAAAA